CCTACCCAAGCACATTTCTACAGGCTGCCTTCGATAGAAGAATACGCGTCCGTTAGTCGATCGAATGAGGTGCAGATCGAAATTCCGTCGTGGTCAGAAGAGCCTATGTCAACCACAGCACTATCATACACCCGCTGTCCATCATTCTCGCTTCGATTTTATGAATATTCTGGAATCGGTAATGGTACACTATTTGGTTTCAATCCGAGTGGGTAACCGGTAATGCAGGTCAATCCGAAAGGATGGTCACATGAAAAATCATCGATTTGGTCACGTGACCTAAACATCTTTGGTCAAGTTCGGTATAAAAACAAGTCGCTATTAAACGTATGTGTGGTCTTATCGGTAGTCGAAGCAGTGTTCAATTTCAAGCTTAGTTACCGCACCCTCTTACGACAAAACTTAGTTAGTGAAGGAATCAGATCAATCCGCGTCAATAATAATATTATAGATAATATTGTTTTCATCCACGCTTCCCAATCAACGTTACTAGCGGCGTTCGACAACACAGGCGTACGATGTATTTGTAGATGAACTCATTCAGGCCAAAGGATAACCATTTGTTGCCCTTGAGCCTCAAAGGTGGTTTTGCCAATTTAGAGAGATCTTCATGACTCCGAACCACATACCATGGTATTATCTTGTCAGAGCTTGAATAATGCTAAGGGTCTGTCGATTTTGCGTTTGCTGCATGTGGGATCGCTTTGACGGATTACTAGTCCATTACCATATTTTGTAGCATACCATACATACAATTGGCCTATGATTTATAGTAAGCTTATATTCTGTCGATTTTGCGTTTGCTGCATGTGGGATCGCTTTGACGGATTACCATATTTCGTAGCATACCATACATACAATTGGCCTATGATTTATAGTAAACTTATACTGTTTCGGAATGGTAGAAGCGGAAGCAGCACCCAGAAGAAACCTCCACCCACTAGCTAAATCGGTCAAGCTTCACAAGCCAGCATTGACTAAAACACAATAAAATTCAGGAGGCTATCAAAAAGGTTTAATAGAATACATTCTTTCTACCTAAAGCTTGGGAAATTTATCCATCCAAGTAATTCAAAAATTATTGCAGAATCAAGGTATGTTTTGTATGCTAACCGCCGCACTTACCTGCTGCCGAAGTTAACACTCATTCACGATTTTCTTCATTTGTTGTTCTAAGAATTATCATCATGTTGCTGACTATGAGGTCGTTGTTGTGCGACGAAGACAACTCGCGCGAAATTATTGCTACTGGTAACTATCAGACTCTCTACTTGAGTTAATCCCTATTAGAAATCCAGTCCAGCTCCTCCAGCATAGTTATGCATCTAATTTGTCCAGTTTCTATCGAGTAGCCCATGAGGTACTCCAAAGCGACGTAAATTGGATAATAATGACTGCATACTAGGATATTGACAGATAGAGCGAATGGGTTGCGTTATTGCTAAGAGTTAACAGGCCTGCCCTATGACAGGGATGGCAGATTAAGTTCGCTAATAAATAATCAGGATATGAAATCGAGAACAGAAGAGTGCTGTTCGTTCGGTAATTTCTCTAGTTTATATATATATATATACAAGCTACTCTATATTATAGTATCACGTAAGGTGTTTACACAACCGTTTCTGACATGGGGGTGAAGTAGATAAAACCAAGCTCCGATGATCAAAACGTTGGTAACAATTGAATATCTTCAATCAAATTTCAAGAGTTTTGTAAGCACGTACTCTAAGTACGCTACTTAACCTCCGCCGTAGATTCTATACCGTACTTATGCTGACATGCAAAACTGCACAAGGGATTTAGACACCTAGACGCGACCAACTTAGGCTGGTGTGCAGAAGTAATTTCATTGCTACACATACAAAAACGTACATATGTCAGCCTGCACACTTCTGCCAGCCTGCAGATGTACCTTACATTGAACCAGTACTTAGGCTGGCATTATACATCTACAGAACGTGCAGGGTCTGGTTCAAGTGCTGACACACCTTCCGGTTCAAGTGTTAAAGGTAATATATATTATGTATAAGAACCTTCTGACGAGATTAATGAGCATTCAGGAATGAGTTTGCACGAAACGGTATGGCTCTACGTAGATTAACACCGTACTGACAATAAAAGGGGGAAGACATGGCACGTTACAAAACATTGGGTGCCCAGAGACCAAATGATGCTAAAACGATGTGCGTTTGGCGAATTAGGACAATGCAGGGTATTAATATTTTTGGACTGTAGTACTTGATAAAAGCTTAAAATATTTGGCCTGAGCAAAATATTAGTCACGTAATAGCAAACATCCTCAATGCATTGTACACTTTGAGGGTGAAGATTATGAGAAATCAAACGGACATCGACTTCATTTAATACACAATTTTGATAACTCGACCAGTTGACTAAACTTAATGAAGGATTTATAAATGAACTGCTCGTAGTAATCCAAGCAGAACTTTACACAAAAATGAGTACATGCATTGTCGTTGCTAGTTGTAAGCCACCGAAGAAATTATATGTGGGCTCACGCCAAACTTGGGATGCAACCTTGCCACTATGGCTGTAGGTATGCCACAAATCGGGAAACAGAGATTCCTTGATTGGTACGTATCGCCTGCCTGTACTGATTTTCATCATTGTAACGGGTGCTTCAGTGCGACTGTAAAGCAACGCATTATATCTCCAATGAACCTGAACTCGATTTGAGATCTTAATAAAACTGTAAACATCGTTCGACATACTTGTTCACTGTATTCTAGATTTTCATTCGTTGTCGTTGCCTTCTGGGAGTGCCTCGAACGACACAATAATGACTTTTCTGTTACAGGGCCACCATCGGCTGGGTGTGGCGTGGAGGATTAACTTGTGAGCTCGTGGGAGAAGAATTAAAACTAACGCTACTCCTACCATCGGATTTAGGGTAGTTTCATCCTTCTCGCTTCTGAAACCTCACAGTGGTCCTCGCTGCAGGTACTATCGACATCTCCCAGCGATGTGGGTGATGCGATCTCACGTGTCTTTTAACTTGCACTAACATGGCGGTAAAAGCTGCAGCGACTGTCGTGTAATTTCGCTCAATGTCGAATCGTGTTTTGGTCACGTGACCTACCCCAGTGTACCGCCTACTTTTGTGACCTATTCGGCTTTCCCGACCTGTGACCTATTACCTGTTTTCACCCCTTCGATTCGAGTGAAGCGCGAATTTCAGCAGAAGAATTTGTACTGGGAGGACTGTTGGACGAAACAACTGAAAATGGTTTTGAAGAGCTTAATCAGGGACGGGGAGCAGAACGTTTGACTGATGATTTCGACCATTCCAGCGATAATGAAGAGAATGAGGAAGGTAGCGTTGTTGCTGCTGAACTTCCCGATGTCGTCCCTCTTATCGTCAGTGAAGGTCTAGTAACCGGTGTTCACGTGTCCACACAGGGTCATCTACGGCAACGGCATCGTAGGGTGAATATGGCCAGTCAAGTCCCAAACCTTCGTGGTGATGCTATAGTTTCACGTAATGCTGTTGCGGTAGCTACAAAAATTGCCATTCAAATGCAAACTACTGGTCAACTAAATATTCGTGATGCTCGCACCGGTGGTGGTGTCACTCAAATCAATCAGTAACTAAATCAACAATCATTTAACTTGTCGTGGAATGTGTATCCAGGGTGGGCGAGACGACCTAGTCGTGGTCACATGTACGGAAAGCGGTACATCACACAATTTCGTGCTGATATAGAGAAACTTTTCCGTGCTGGAAAGGAAGTTCACTCGGAGCACATTAGCGGCCAGTATCACTACAAGATCCGAAGTCGACAAAACACTGATCGCCCCGAAGAAGGAGCCGAGCCGCAAGATCCAAGCCCCGATCCCGACAGTGAGATCGGATGAGGATCTGTATGTCGCTAGCTTCGACGGATCCGCCTGTGTCAAGCGAGGTAGCGGCGCCTACAGCGCGATTCTGTGGAAATTACTTGAGTGAACTGTGGCGAAGGCCAGATCTGGCTATGTCGAAGGTTTAACTGTCAATGAGGCCGAGTTTCACGACCTTTTGTTATGCCTTGACTTGCTAGAAGGGACGAATCCGCTACGACTGGTGATCTGTGGCGACTCAAACTTGGTGATCCGCCAAGTTAGAGGTGAGATCGACTGCAAGGCGCCTGGATTGACATTACTAAGACAGAAGGCGCTCGACAGACTGCGGATCCGGCCGGATCATGAGTTGGTACATGTGAAGCGGGATTGGAACGGAAGTGCAGATAGTCTGGTTAGTGCTGCACTGCCACGGC